TGGGGTTAGGAACCAGCATTAGCTCATCTTCAGGTCAGGATTTGTGGGCAGATCATTCATTAAGAAAGTGCCTCCATGGAGACCAGAAAAGCAAGCAGAGGAAGCAGGCCAGGGAGAGGCTGAGCTGAAGGTGCGATCTTATTCTCCTAGGGCTTCCGTAACAAAATATCACAAACTGGGTAGCTTAAGACGAGAGGTTTATTGCCCCATCATTCCAGAGGCCAGCGGTCCAAACTCAAGGTGTTGGCTGGGCCCTGCTCCTCTGCAGTCTCTAGGGGAGAGTCTGGAATTCCTTACTTCTTCCATCTTTTAGTGGCGCCATGGCTTGTGGCATCTCTGATAGCTCCAGTAACTCCAATCTATGCCCCAGTCTGTATGGCCAGCTTCCTGTGTGTCTCTGTTTCTGCACCAAATTCCCCTTTTCTCTTAAGGACACCAGTCATATTGGGTCAGCTAAGGGCTCACCATCTCCACTAGTTACATCTGCAACAGCCCTATTTCCAAATAAGGGCAATTCTGTGCTACTGGGGATATCTTTCTGGGGACACATATTTCAACCCACAATAGGTAATGCAGTCTGGGTAAAAGTCCTGGGGAAGGTGGCTCCTCTCAAAGGGTCTGGCAGAGGGTCTCTGGAATGTAAGATATGTCTCAAAGTGATTTCAACCAAGAAGAACCCACCCCAATAGTGAAGGGTCTGGGTGGAGAAGCCACATTGCCTGCTAACTCCAGGCAAGGTTTCAAAGAACTTTCAGCATGGACTAGCTGAGGACTCTTACAGCTTGTACGTAGAAGAAATCAGGGAGGAGAAAACGGAGCACTGGGATTAATCAGTGGGATTGATATCCAAGCTCTGTGCTCCTTGCCCTGGCCTCTGACTCTGCTCCAGATTCACATTGCCTTCGTACTTAAGTTACCCTTCCTCAGAGCTACTGCTTAAGACTGATTGACAAATTACCTTGCCTTTTCTTAGAACTAGCAGCGGGAATGTTGACTAGAGGCCCAGTTTAGGAAAAAGATCTATAAACTTTGGCTTTTAAATATGCACACTGCCTGCTGGGGCCGTTTGTTGCCTAGAAATAGCTGGATGCACATTAAGCAATTGATGATTAAACCCAGCCCCTACCCCAAGTTCCTACATTGACCTAGGCTTTCAGTTTCAAAGGCTTTTTGTTTGTTTGTTTGTTTGTGGGATATTGTCTCTTCTTTTGCCTTTACCCAGACTGTTTTCGAGGTTTCTTTAAAACACACTTCCTATGGATTCCAGTTCTGAAGACTGAGGCGTGTTGCAGGTGCAGAGACGTGGCTGAGAGGAGACAGCCATACCTTATCATTTCTGAGCCCCACCCCTCTGTGTTTAGAATACTTCCAATAAGATATCACTTTCATTCTGATTAAATCCAAGAGATTGTATTAAAAGCCATGCATTCAACTTTTATTTTCAGTTATCCTTGTGGCCTGTTTCCAGAGATGAGTTTTCTGCCAGTATTGTCATTTACACATTGATCTATACCTCCATGCTTCGGGTAGGCGGGTCTTTATCTTTCTGGTGCAAAACAGTTCCTTATGCCTTAAGGATAGAAATTAATGTCCAGTTTGTGGAGGGGAAGCCTAGATATTTGGGTAGGAAGTCATTCTCTGGTATGACTTTAGGGTCACTGACTCCCAGCTTCCTAGCCACAGCATTACTGGTACCTGAGATTCTATCTTTGGAGATTCTTTGTCTCAGATTTGCTTTTCCTTGTACTTGCAGATAGATACCTATGAAAGGTAAGTCTTTTTAGTCATGGCAACAGGTCAATTTTAGGGAGGAAAAAGAAGAGTAAGTAGGCACTTACTCATCAAAGGTGTTGGCTGAGAAAAAGGGATAAATCAAAGGGATAAAAATAGCCCCTTCGGTGAGGCTGTAGTGGAGACCCTGCTTTGACTTTCTTCTACTCTTCGGTCAATGAATGGATGCCATTGTGGTTGGTGTTTGTGGGGGATGTGAAGGGTAGCTATGAAGCAGGTCTTTGTCTTTCAGCATTTCGGTGCATTGAAGTCATGCAGACCTGCCGTGCTCAGGACCAGCTGGTGGTGGAGTGGCGCAGTTCTTTTCCAGAAGTGGACACATGGATGGTTGAGTGGTTTCCAGATTTGGACTCAGAGCCTTCTGCTGTTTCCTGGGAAACTGTGTCTTGGGCCAGGAACTGGAGCATCCATCAAGGTAGCCAATCAGAATCCACAAGTTCCCTCTGTGCAGTATTCAGTTTCATTTCCCTCAGTTGATTAACTTTGGCTTCAAAGCTGTAAATGATGTTAATAGCATTTGGTAAACTCATGGAAGTTTTATGAAGGACATGCTTCTTGTAATTTCTCAGACAAGGCTGGCATAGAAAGCTATGGGAATCCAACTGTTTGGCCTATCTCCAGGCAGAAAATCTCATTTAATGTCTCCCATTAGAGACCCTCTTCCAAGATACTTTTCTTGGTATGGTTTGTTTGTTTATTCCTTCCATGAAAGAGAGGGAGAAAAAGAAACAGGCACCCCCAACAGAGTCTTCTCACTACAGTTCACCCTTAGTCTACATCATAGGCACACTCAAGTGCCTAGTGTGCTCAGGGAGGTCCTGGAACATGAACCCAGTACTTTTTCTGTGTGGGTTTAGTTGGGTTACCACTGCACCACCCACCGCCTGGTCTCACTTCCCAGATATTTAGATCTTCTGTGAATAACTCCAGAGTCTGGATCCTGTCTCTTCTACCTAGGATATTTTCTTTAATTCTGGCTGCCTGTTAAAGAGCTAAGACTCTTTCCTGGGTGATTGATATGAGGAATAACCTTCTTTTCAAGGAAGTCTTTGCCCCCATGTAAGAAACATGAATGAGGCTTTACCCTTTCAACCCTATTACTCCAATCATTTCTTAAGATTTCATAGCATCCACAGTAAGAATTATTCTCATGCATGAGTGGAGGCAGGTAGAAGATCTAGAAGTCATGGTATCTGAGTTCTCCAGGGTGATATAATGTTGACAGGAAGATTAAGTTTATTCTGCACTATCCCCAAATCATATGACAAAATCAGTGATGAAAGAACTGGATCTCTTACTTCTCTCTTCTTGAATGAATCTGTCATAGTTCAGTTAGTTCTAAAGCATAGTTAGAAAATCTTAGAATAAGAATAGACATTAGAGACCCTCCAACCTAATCTCCTTATTTTTCCAGATGTGGAAAGTGTAGAGAAATGGAGTATCTTACTTAAGTCTTAGATCATAATTCAGTTCAGTATTTCTTGTACTCTGCCATGCTCTGCACTGATGTGTATTTTTTTTCTCTTTCTCCTTTCTCCTCCTTTCCTTTCTTTCTTTCTTTCTCTCTCTCTTTTTTTTATAGATAAATTAAGACCTTTATGGTGTTATAACATCTCTGTGTATCCAATGTTGCATGACCAAGTGGGCGAGCCATATTCCATCCAGGTTTATACCGAAGAAGGCTGTATGTATGGACAAGGCCCTTTTGGGGACACTGGGGCCTATCTATCATTTATACAAGGTTGAGTGTGTCTGAGGCTCATTCACAATTGCCTTAAGGCCCATTTGTGGGACCAGCAGATGGTGTATTGGCTATGTCACTGGACTCCCATGTAGTTGACTATGGTTTGAGTCCCAGACCCAGTGCCAGGTGCATGTGCATGTGTGCCCAAAATTCTATGAGGCAAGTGGAAGAGAAGGGATTGTGGTGTGGTTGTCCCCCCTGGAAGTGGGGAGTTTCTCACTTTCTGTCTGTCTCTCTCTGGTGAGCGCACATGCCCTATAGCAAAGATTTCTCAATAATAATAATAATAATAATAATAATAATAATAATACCCATTTGAGCTTCTCCTTCCTCTTGTAGCAAGCTATGTATAATTGGGGTCAGATTATGGATTCTCTGGATTTCAAAGGTGGGATAGACATTAGAGACTATGATGTCCAATCCCCTCATTTCATCGATGTAAAATTGAGGCCAAAGAGGTAAAATAACTTGCCTGAAGTCACAAAGAAACTTAGCGCAAATAGAACTGCAAACAGAAATAACGTTTAATTAACACCAACTTAAAAAAACTGGAGTTTATCATACGTTAGGGATATTAAAAATTATTTTTAATTGTTCAGCAATAAGCAGGGGTTTAGTAGGCTCAGACTTAATTTTTATCTTTTGTAAAATTAACAGATTTCAAATTTAATATGGAAAATATCTCTTGTCACTCAGAGGTGGCCCATGGAGGAATATTCTTCAACTATTTGATAATAACTACACTTTAAAGATATGAATGAAAGGGCTAGGTGTCAAATGAAAGTGAGAGATCTATAAGAAAGACTCTACTCTGGTTTTTGATACCACTTCTCTTCTTGTTTAAGAGAAATGGTTCCAGAAAATAATTTTTCCAAATCTAGTTGATACAGCAAGTCCCTACTCAAACTTTGCTTACTATCTCCAGCACTATAGGTTTGGCTTGAATCCTAACCAGAAGAGCCTTTGTGGGGGAAGGATCTGCTGGGGTAAGATTCAGTATTTGTCTTTCTGTCCTTTGAAGCTCCGTCAAAAGGTCCCGCAACCAAGGTGGAGAACATTGGTGTGAAGACAGTCACAGTCATATGGAAAGAAATTCCTAAGAAGGAGAGAAATGGTATCATCAGGAACTATACCATATATTACCAAGCTGAGGATGGAAAGGAATTCTGTAAGTGTGTCCATAGCCAAGTTGAAACAAAACTAAAAACCTCAGAGAGCTGCGATGGGTAGACCTGTCATAGGGATGGCTGCCATGGTTGTGACCTGTAAGTTTGCATGGCACTTGCCCTTTTTTGAGCCTTACTGAAAATGGGGCAAGGGCACCTACTTCTCAAATTTTGGGGATTAAATGAGATCAAAATGACAATACCTAAGAGTCCTTTAGAAACAGGAGGAATTGATAAAATTTATCCTGGTCAAGCTTGGAACAAGATGACCTTTCAGAACTTTTTTACCATTATTCCCAGAAGGGGTGCACGTGGCTTAAAGAGTAGAGAGGGACAGACCCTGACTGGTGACATTTACCTTAGCGTAGGATGCCTCACCATGACTTCTGTTCACTGCCAAGTCTTATTTCTTTAAGTCTACAATATCTCCTGACATCCTAAATTCTGGACTAGGCTTGGATTGCTGTTTAGGTTTTAAAAAAATGTGTTTTATTATGGCAAAATATAATAATAAAAATTTGACATTTTAAACACTGTAAAGTGTGTAATTTTCTGTAATTATGAACATCCATGATGTTGTGCAACTACCACTACTATTTCCAGAACTTTTCCAGTTCTATGCCAAATAAACGCCCTGTGCCCCGTGATCATTCACTCCGTATTCCCCTCTTCCCATAGGCCTTGGCAACCACCAGAGTATTTATGCCCCTATTATTTGTCTGTTCTAGATATTTCATATAAATTAACTCTTCACTATGTGGCTTTTGTGTCTGGCTTTTTTTAAAACTCAGCATAATGTTTTCAAAATTTATCTATGTTATAGCATGAGTTAGTACTTCATTTCTTTTTATGGCTGAATAATACTCTGTTTTATGGATGCTCCATGTTGTTAATCTGTTCATCAGTTGATGAACATTTGGTTTGTTTCAATTTTTTGACTACTGTGAATAGTGCTGCTATGGACATAGGTGTACTAAATATCTGTTCAAGTCCATGTTTTCAATTATTTTAGGTATATACTCAGGAGTAGAATTGTTGGATTATATGGTAATTCTAGTTTAAATTATTGTGGAACCACCCAACTATTTTCTGCAGTGACTGTATCATTTCACATTCTCACAAGCAGTGTATGAGGGTCCCAATTTATCTGCATCCTTGCCACACTATTTGTTATTTTTCAATTTAAAAAATATTATAGCTATTCTAATATGTGTGAAATGATGTCTTATTGATTTGCTTTTCCTTAATGGCTAATGATGCTGAGCATGTTTTCATGTAGTTTACCATTTGTATACCATCTTTGGAAAAATGTCTTTTTAATCTCTTTGATCATTTTAAAACTGAGTTGTCTTTTAGTTGTTGTGTTGTGAAAACTCATTATATAATTTGAATATAAGTTCCTTATCAAATATAGGATGAGTTACATATATTTTCTCCCACTCCATGTGTTTTCACTTTTTTGGTATTGTCTCAATGCAAAAAAGCTTTCCATTTTCTATTTTTAACTTTTGCCAAAGGGCACATGTACTTACCTGAGAAAAACAGAGGGAAGAGAGAAAGTGAGAAAGCATCCCTCATGTGGCATGATCATGCTGCAGCCTCTTCTCTATTTCTCTCTTCTCTTGAGATTTTGGGCATGCATACACATATGCCTAGCATGTTTTTTAGAGCTCCTGCATGCAGGACTCAAACCATATTCTTATCCATATGAGACACAGTCACCTTAACCACCAGGCCATGGGTAGGCCCCAAATCTTTTAATTTTAATGAAATTTAATCTATTTTGTTGTTGTTGTTGCTTGTGTTTTTGGTGTCATTATCTAACAAACCATTGTAAAATTTAAGGTCATAGAAGGCTTACCTTGTTTTGGCTTCTAAGACTTTATTTTAGCTCCTTTGTTTCTTTACTCATGATACAGCACAAGAGAGAGAGAGAGAGAGACAGAGAGAGAGAGAGAGAGAGAGAGAGAAGCGTCCTCAACAAGGTCTAGTCGTATCATAATACTCTTCCTGTGGTCCTACAGCTTATTGGATCTTGGATGCTTGCATTTGCACCTGGTGTGTTTTAGGCCAGCTGGACCAGGGATTTGGATTATTGTTGCCCCGTGGCTCTAACTCTGCAGTTCAGCATGCCACCATAGCTGGGCCAGTTTTACCTTTTTTTTTCAGAGAGATTTTTTACTATAGGGTGTGTGCGCTTACCCTATAGTAAAAGAAAGAGAGAAAGTGCAAAATCACCCCACAGGGGACATGCCACAACCCCTTTTCTCCATTCTTTTATCTGGATTTTGGGCATGCAAGCACATGCACCTGGCATGAGTTTCAAGCCTCTGGGTTTGGGACTCAAACTGCAATCAGCCACATGGGAGTCTAGTGTCTTAACCACTATGCTACCTGCTGCCCCCCCCCCCCCCCTTTTTTCTCTTTTCATA